TGGGCAAGTTCTTTGACAGTTAAAATCTTTGTACTTGTAATAAAACAACTAACAGCGTATTTTAACCTAAAGTTAATAAAATTATTTAAAAAAATTAATATTAGCACCTCTAGTATTTTCCTCGATTTACAAAATATTTAATTACTTAAAAAAAATTAAACATAAGCTAGAAAACATGCTCATTCGTAGTTTTTGACAAATCTGTTATAATATCGTAAGGACAAGATTTATCTTCAAGCGTCTTGAATCTTGCGGTTTTAAAAACGCTGTAGCTTTTTCAAAAATTGTTTGAGAAATTTAGGACTTTTATTTAATAAAATTTTAAATATTTAATATAAATTTGCATGCATCAACTCCATTGTGATAATTTTTTTACACAACTTTTCTTATGCGAAACCTAATGAATGTAGTAATAACTAAAAACAAATTCCATACGTGTTTTAACAAATTATTTGTCCGGGTCCAAGTCGATCCCATATTGGTCATAGATTTCAGTAATGTGTAGTCAGTGACTACTAGTCACTATATTTCATAATTTATTTACTGTTTTGACCGTAATGATTGCACGTTAACAATGTTAACTTGAATTACAACTAGCCATTATTCACAAATAAAATCAAATTTATTATTTACTTCTATACATATCTAAAATGTCATTTTAAGATCTGTAATGCAAATAAATAAGTGAGCATGTGTGTACCAAAAATTGTTAAAATATTTCTATAAATTCCTTTATTTATTTATATTTAAAGTGACGGTACCAAATTTTTGAAATTTTCCAAATTCATAAATAACATTTTGGAAATATTGTAAATTTTGATAGCTTTTTCGGTCATTTTCTTTAGAAGTCAATATGTATCCGGTTTTAAGGCGCGTCTCGTAGTAATTCGGTTTAAAGTTTTGATAGCCATGTTTCTGCCTTCTATAGAAAACTGAAGCTCTCAGTTTTCAGTTTCAGCAACACGGCTGTCAAGATTTCAAACCGAATTAAAATGTACCGTGCCTTAAATCCCGAAAACCATTTTACTTTTATTGAAATTTTTTGTAAATTTTAAGAATTTAAAAAAAAGAATTTTAACAATTTGAGTTATTTTCAAAATTTTGCTTCCGTCCCTTTTGTCAAGGCTAACTTCTCGGTGTTCTTTTAATAATAATAATAATATTAATGGGTCTTTATTTTTCTATTGGTACATACAATATAATACAATATTTATGATTACTAAAACAAAAATTAATAAATCCTATATACTTTTAATAAATAATGCAAGACTTTAAGATTTACCAGTCTTGGTTTATCACTGCATGGCTATCCAAATCGGTAAATATCTCTAAAATCTTTTTGAAGCATTTAATTTTGAGTGTATTGTTTATAATATTTAAAGTATTTAGCAAAGTGTCGGATTCATTACCTTCAATTCCATAGGCAATTATATTTAATGTTTTACTTTTTTTCTAGCAATTCGATTTTATTCTTTAAATTATTATTTTATTCTTTACTCTTCACAATTTACCTTTAAAGATTTTACCATGAATTCCTGTTTTTAAATCTTCCTGCTTTATTGAGTTAAATTGATCCTCAGTTGTAACATTTTTGAGGAGGCATGCTCCAAAACGGTACTATATTTTTTTATAACCGTCACAAAAATTATTTAATGGGTTACCGCAGATTATAAAGTCTATTTTAAGAGCTGTTGACACTGTTTCCGATGTCTTTCGTGTAGTTAGTACAGGGTGTATATTATACACTGTATAATGAAAAATAAATCTCCACGAAACAAATTTAAAATTCTACTTGTGACTCTTCATTAAAAATAAATCCTTATCACTTACATATTCTAAACTTTTTTCAAATTAAAATCTACAATCGATTATTTAAATTTATATTACCAGTTGAGGATTTTGATTCAAAAAAAAAGTTAAGAATATTAAATATTAAAATGTTTAAGGCCGTGGATAATTTTAAATAATTATATAAAATATATATACTTGGCATTCCCTTTTAAATAGTTTATAAATATTTGGGGAACTAGGCTGTACACATTTTTGGCAAATACCTCAGAATAAGTTAAAATGGATTTATCGGCTTTTGCATGTTTGCTCCATAATTTAAAAAAACCATAAAAATTGATTTTCATAAAAAATATACCGTAATAATCAATTTCTAAGCCATCAACATATGCAGAAGTGTTTTTTCCAAAGATTTCCAATATATTATTTTAAAAATTCGTTTCCAAACTCGAGAAATAAAATAGGGTAATGTTGATAGATTAACAATTAATTATTATAGTTAATTTTTAATCTCATGAGGGAGCCCCTGATATACAAAATACATTGTGGCGTATGAAAACAAATTAAGTGGTAAGAAGCAAAAGGGTACAGTTCATTTTAGCATGAAAATAAGTTAAGTTCAGAATTTGGCAGTTTAACGTCCAATTTTTTTTTAATTTCTCTTAACGTACGAGTTCTGCTACTTGATTAATGCAAACAACAATATTAAAAGAAGTATCCAGATTTTTGTATAAAGGAAAAATACAACCCAACCCAAACCAAGTTAATAACTCCCCTTCTTTGATTTGCATTTGTACCAGTTTGCTTCTTACCTCTTCAAATGTAAAAATAAAAATTGATTTCTTGAAATCTGTGCTGTTAAAAAATCGGAAATTATTTGTGAATAAGTCTGATACCTCAAAAAATTATATATTATTTAAATTATAGACCTTCTATGAAAACTCTTCAAATGGAGATACTTATTACATTAAAAAATTATAATAGTTCATAAAACACTTTTATTATTTAATCTTCAAAATTTGTACAAATTACAAACTTGATTCATACAATACCGTATGCTAAAGAAGTATCGCTAGTAGCGTCACCAATCGGCTGTTATCATCGTAACAAAAGTATAACTTTTAATAATCACCTGTCAAAAGCTTAGGTTACAAATGAGTGTTTTTGAGAATAAAGCCGGAAAATGTTAAAAAATATCGAAAAAAAAACGTGGATCGATTTGTTGTGTTGTTGGGTGTATTTTGAGAGGAAATCCTGGGTTGAGTTTTTACCGGTTTTCCAATAAACAGTGTTAATCTGAATGAAGACATAAATTTCATACAATCTCTGTAAATATAAATTGTACCTATTAGATACAATAAATACACATTTTAGTAGTGATTAACGTGAAAAGTGTAAACATTTCAATTCAGTAAAAATCGTCAAACAAATAAGTCGTCTAAATTTAAACAGCATTTAGCTTTATTAAAAGCATTGATTAAGAATTCTTTAAAGTCTCCACTCAACGGTAAAATACCATTATATTATGAATTATATAATATATATAATATTATGGTGCCATGAATTCGTACGTATATTTTGTTGTTTAAAATGCAGTTGTCAGCGTTTTTTAGAGAACTCAAATAAAAATGATTGATTTTAAGGTTATCTTTGTGCAAACATTATTTTTTACTAATTTCTTAAAAATGTCCAAACTTAAATATAAATTATATTATGTAAAGTTATCATTAGTTAATTCTGCACCAACAAATGTACTTAGGTACCGAATTGGATCCTTTGGCAAAACATGAAAATGCAACGATTTAGTTCTTGAATTTTATTTACAATTAAAAACACAATAATTCACCATGATCCCTTTGATAAAATACACACACTAACGTAACTATACAAGCATTTAAGCGTTGAGTTTCTTAATCAATGATATAATGAATAATCACTCGAAATCGAGTACTAAAAAAGTTTTTTAATTTTTTCCTTGCAACGTAAAACACAAATAACGTGCGCGATTTAGCTGTGCAATTGAACAAAATTTGTCCAGTAAGACTTCTAAAAAACTACCTAAGTATTTATTTAAAAATGATGTATAATCGGTACTTTAAATTTATTGTTGACAATTCTTAAATTCACGCAATGCATTCCAAGTCCACCAGATGGCGCGCGCGTTGCGAAAACCCGATACTTCTTTAGCGTATGGGACACGTAATGTTTAGCCAACCTTGGCGCAGTCCTTGGCGCGCTACAAACCTTGACTTGAGTATCTTAATATTATGTCTACCAAATTTAATCTTGGTTAAATAATCAGAAGTCAGTTAAAATTTGATAGCAGCATTGAAGTTAAATAATCAAGTTTGATAAACGCCATTTTATACACGAATTTAATTTAGCTTAAATTAATGAGTGGATAGAAAAGTTTATAAACGAGGTGCATATTATACTTTTTCTACGACAAATACTCATTATTATCTTAAAATGGTTTTAATCAAATATTTGTATAGAGCGCCATCTATGAAACATGAATCTGTGTGTCACCGTCAAATGTCAAATTTTTATATTTTATAAACACAGATTATAAAGGTTATAAATCGTATTCCTTGAAAATGGACAGTTTTTCACAGTGAAAGTAAAGAAAATGTTTTATGAGCACTTTACAGTCCGTGCCCGAATTTAAGTTATATTTTACAGCCGGCGAAATTAAATGGTCAGTAAAATGTTCATATAGACTTTTCAAGTATTGGCGTTGAGAAACTTTTGTATTTTTTTATTGAGATAATAAAATAATTTTCACAATTAGTATTATTTTACAAGAAAGGCACTTAATTTTAACGATTGTATGACATTTGACAACTGTCAACTAACTTAAAACTAACTTCAGCCCGTGACTAAAACGTCATAAAGCCACAACTTGTCAATGTGTATTTAAAAGGTCACTTAGGGTCATCGAAACATGAACGATAATCGGGATTTTAAAGGTGGGAGTTAAAAAAATCATTTAATAAAAAAATTTTTAATTATAAGACATTACTATTCCAATTAATTACTTTAATAAGGAATATACTAGACTATATTTAATGCCATCAAAATTAACTTATTTTTTATTTATTAAGATTTAGTGGGAACTATTCCAAAATTATCTTTATTTAATGTATTGGCTGTTAATGGGTTAAAGCCAGTGAACATTGATTTTCTATATTACCGGTTATTAATTGTCGTAGGCGAATAAGTGCACCATCATAAGTAGCAGGCGAAAAGAATCGGCTTAAAAGGGCTTTGCTGAAAGCTGTGTATCCAAGAAGGAAGAGAGCGCAAGGCTCGGTGCGTCCAGACGCCGATATAAAGGTGCGGACGGCCGCAACAGCCCAACACAACGCGTCGCGCCACAACCGAAGACCTTAAGAAGTCATCCAACCCGACCAACAAGAATTTTGAATTTTAAATGACGTTGATTTCGCTGATTGCCGTACTATGTGCGATTTTTTGTCTGACTTTGTCTGTCGTCGTGATCCAGGGCTTGCCCAAGCCCGAAGAAGAGGCCTTAAGACCGGCCTTTTCGCAACTTTTTCAAGGGGTAAGAAACTTTTAATTAGTTGTTTTACTTGGAAGTGTAATAAACTATAAGAAAATAGCAAATTTGATTCCTTTAAAAGATAAAAACTTTAAAATCAGGATGTAAAAGCTAAAAGTTAAAGCCAAACCCAAGCAAAAGGTTAAGCTTATTTGTCTTTTTAAATATAAATTAATTTACATACTTTTGCTTGACTAAATATTTATTTTTTATACTCTATAACAAATAGATTTAATAAAGATATACAGAAGATAACAGAAGTATGCACAAATACGCATTGAGTAAATCGTCAATTTATTTCAAAGAACATAACACATTTTACGTAAAAAACAAGTCAATTATTAACCCTGTAGACAGCTATATAGACAACTATAATTAATCAAATACATTATAATTAAAACTAATTGTTTTTAAGATAAAAACTCAAGACCAGTTTGTGCATGGTTAGTGCTGTTACGTTAACAGGTGTCAACACAAAATTAAACTTTTTTTCCGATCTTACTTTGTATCTCAAAAGCTGTACTAAATACAGTGTGATCTGGAAAGTGTTCAAAATACAAAAATATGTTTATTATAATTATTATAATATTTTTGTCATTATCATTATAAAAGATTTGCAAATGCTAATATATAGGGTCTTTCCATCTCAAATCGACCAGGCAAAAAGGGGTAGGTCGTTATTTTTCAACAATTTTTTTTACAGTTTCTGTACCTAAATCGATAAGACCCATATTTTTTCTTTTTACTTAAATTTGTTTTGTTCGCCCGTCTCATTTTTGAAAAATGGACAGAAACATCGATTTATTTCTTTTTACGACAAATTTCCATTATCGTCTCATTTTGTCAAACTTTTGTCTCTAAAATATAATTATTATTACCACCATTTAAAAGATTAAACAATAAAATAATTATTTAAAAGGTTCTGACTTTAAAGAAAAACTTCTTAGCTTAGTTCTTATAAATTCTTTTCAATATTTTATGTTTCCAATAAACAGGGTGTGCAAGTTTAATTTTATTATTTTGTGACGAAGTAGTATGAATTTTAAAAAATATATTTTTTTATAGGGCGTTTTTATCTTAAACCGACCAGGCAAAAAGGAGTAGGTCGTTATTTTTTAACGATTTTTTTTAAGCTTCTCTACGGAAATCAATGAGACCCGTATTTTTGTTTTTTCCAAAATTTGTTTTGGTTTTTTAAAGTTTACTACATACAAAAAAATATATAAAAAATTAAATGAATTTTTTTTGTAAAAAAGACAAAAAAATTAGGTCAACATTACCACATTTTTTTTTACTTTATACTTTTTTTGTTTGTACTTGATAATATGAACAACTTTCACCAAAAGTCCCGACTTGGCTAAATTCGTCGTTTCAGAATTATTATTTTTTTAATGAAAATGCCATTTTCCAGTAAATTCGTGGTTCATATAAAAAATTTGGTTTTTTATCTATGGTCACGAAAGTGGGGTGACCTTTGTAAAGTGTAATTTAAAACTTTTTGGCATATTTAAGTAAGTAAATTAAATTAGTAAATTTTTAGAGTTTAATTCTTAATATTTTTGCATGTGTTACTTAAATGATGTAAAAACTCTTTTTGAGGAGGCTGTATCAGCTGATCAGGAAGGGAAATAAGTATTAAGCATGAGGTCCAGAAACTAATGCGCAGATTAATTATATTTGGAAATAACAAATTTTTATTTGATTTCATATTTCGTTTTTTTATTTATTGCCAGAGATTCCCCAAATCCAGAGATTCCCTACAATGGCCATACAATTGGGTGGTTAGATTTAACTTTTTATAATCGTTTTAAAATATTTGAATTATTTTATTTAGTAGTTTAAAAACAAAAAAATGTTGAGTAATTACTTACACCCCTTTGATTCTAACCACCTCAATTATTATTTTTATTTTATTTTATAAAAAGTTTAAGCGTATGTTTTCATAGTAAACTAAAATGTTAATATTTACTTACCAAAAAAACAAACTAATGAACTTTCAAATTTGATAATTATTTTAAACACAAAGGTTTTAAAGGCTTTTTAATTTATTTACTTCTGTACCCATTTTAAAACCTAATATTTAAATTTAATTAAGAGTTTAAAAGCGATATTATAAAAAAATACATATTTGGTATAACATTTGAAAAAGTGTATTTTTTTTATTAAAAAAAATAGCTTTGGCATAAAGTATGGTTTTTCAAAGCTCCTAAAAATCAGCATTTCAAAAGAAGAATAAAAAAGTATTTTTTTTAGACTAATTCAAGGCACTCTGGATATAGAAATAAAATTTAATCAAAAAATGATTTTACCTGTTAAAAATTGAGAAATGACATATGTACGAGTATGTATCCAGAATTTTACGAATTTACTAGAAAATGGCATTTCCATTAAAAAAATAATTAGGTACGACGAATTTACCAACTTTTGGTGAAAGTTGTTCATATTATCAACTCTAAAAGAAAAAAAACTGAAGTAAAAAAAATGTGGCAATGTCAAAATTTTGGTTTCCAATTTTCGGGATCGGGATCCCGTTTTTGGATCCCGGGATAAAAATAAACAAATCCCGGGATCCCGGGATAAAAAAACAAATCCCGGGATTAACATTAATAATGTTTTTATTTATCTAACAGTAGCAACAAAATTAATAAAAATGCGTACACCAAAAAACAATTCTAATTCATTTACGATTTGTAAATATAAAATAAGCTATACTTAAAACAAAGTACTTTACAAAGAACTTTTTAATAAAAAGTAAACATTTACGTTTTGCTTAGTAAAAATAAAATATGCTCTTAAAAACACCAACGTCTCTAAGGTTGAGTCACTTATGCTCGACCTAAGTTTGGTCGCAAATGTGACCGCCGCGGCGAAGAAAAGGCTCTCTCAGCTTCCACCCTTGTAGGTGGTACTGTAAGTAAATATTCGTAACACTGCTGCAAATATAAACCTCTTAATCCTCCATTTTCATAAAGTGTAATTTCTTTTTTAATAACGTTCAGGGTATTAAGACGACATTTTGGATTTTTAGTGTTTTGTCAAGTAGGTTTAATTTTAGTAGTTACAGAGCCTATGGCATCTTGAAGTTTTTGCTTTAAAGTTAAATGGTCTGTCGACTTTTTTATATGTTCAAACAGAGGTATGTCTTTATCATCAGATTCCGAATCTGGAGTAATAGTTTTTTTGAAATTTTCTGATATATTTTTGACAAATTGCGCTATTACTTCAGAATATGGGTTTTCGAATATATTGCTTGTATGATAGTTGTTGGGATTTTGTAGTTAGGAAAACACAAAAATTATTTTAAACAATTTTCCTATTCAGCTGTCAAGTAAATATTAGACACCGGGATTTCGGGATCCCGGACCAAAAACCTTAATTTTAATCCCGGGATTTTCGGGACAAAAAGCCCGCGGGATCTCGGGATTTCGGGATCCCGGACTGGAAACCCTAGTTAATAATAATAATTAAAAAAATTGAGTAAATTCACTTTATTTTTTTCTATGTGGTAAACATTTACCTGTAATTAAAAAAAAATTGTAACGATCGAAACGTTTTTGGCCAAGTTATCGCATTTTCAAGAAAAAATGTCACTCGTAAAAAGAAATAAATCGATTTTTCTGTCCATTTTTCAAAAATTTCCTATGAGTGAACAAAACAAATTTTGGCAAAAACAAAAATACGGGTCTCATCGATTTAGGTAGGAAAACTTAAAAAAAAATTCGTTAAAAAATAACCACCTACCCCTTTTTGCCTGGTGGGTTTAAGATGGAAAGACCCTATAAAAAAATATGTTTTTTAAAATGTATACTAGTTCGTCACAAAATAATAAAATTAAACTTGCATACGCTGTTTATTGGAAATATAAAACATTGAAAAGAATTTATAAGAACTTTTAGCTTTTCTATAAAGTCAGAACCTTTTAAATAATTATTTTATTGTTTAATAGTTTAAATTAATACCTGGTGGTAATATTAATTATGTTTTAGAAACAAAAATTCGGGAAACGATAATGGAAATTTGTCGTCTTGTGTAGGGGAGAGTAGAGTAATGTGCAGATTTGCTCATATTTTGGTTATTTTTCCGAAATTATTTAGGTTTATTTTATTTTAGCTTTATTAACAAACACAAGTCGTTGAAAAATTTATTTTATTTATAACAGAAGGAACACATTTTTATAAAAATAAAAAAAGTCGAAAGGGCCTTATTATCCGCCGCGTCGGAAAATGAGGACCCCAAAGTAAAACTGCTCTCTATTTACAGAAATTGCATGTATATGCCGATTTTTTGCTTGCACCTGAGCATCAAGAGTATTGAGTTACATTACACATCTGTTTCATAACTTTGGCCCTGCTAGATGCAGGAGAATCCTCGTTCACAAGGAGTTAAAGCTTTTGCTGGAGTAGTCTTCTTCATAAAAAATATTTTATTTGAGGCAATGAGGACCAGAGGGGCCTTGTGACACTGCTGTTAATTTTTGTTTCTGTCATTATTTATTATTTTAAGTTATGTTTACTTCCTCTGATTATGCAGAAATGATGATTATTTATGGGGAGTATGAGCGCAATGCTAGGGAGGCAGCACGAGTTTTTCCCAGCGCTTTCCCGATCGTCCCCTGGACTGTAAAGTTATTCATCGTTGTAACAAAATTGAAGGTGCTTCTTAATGCATTAGAACAGTGAAAAATAAAGAGGCTATTTTCAATGCCTTTGATGCAAATAGTAGGACAAGCATAAGGAAAGTTGCACGCGAATTTCCGGTTCACAGTTCAGCTGGTTATAAAGGACGTTCATTTTACGCGAGTGCAGCACCTACCTTTGGAGATAATCCCGCTAGTGTGGAATTCTGTAGTGGTTGCTGGAGATTTTGGCTCTGGAGTACAGAACTAGTTGTTTAGTTTTTAATTAAAAAAAATCCTGTTTGAAAGGTTAGTAAACACAGTCGGGCAATAGATTTTTAAAAGTTTTAAGACAACAATATTCTATCGTCTCCTAGCAATGTTTTTT